CAGTCGGTTCCAAACGGTTCGACATGTAATGCGACAACATTTCTAATAATGAAGTTTGAAAAAAATGGATGTCACCTGCAATCCTGAAAGCAATATTGATTATCGAAATACAACAATGACAGTATCAGAGCAATATTTTAATCTGAATCGTATCTAACCCACAATGCCCTCCTTCGTCCCTCCCCCTTTTAGGCACGTATAGCATCCGACCTGAAGGAACTGAGGGACCAATCCGTGTTCGCGTTCTTCATGATGAACGCCCTTTTCGTACTGATCGTCTTCCTGCTGACCCTAAAGAAGGACTACTTGCACGTGAAATGGCCATTCGGCGTGAAGACGAACATCACCTATGACGAGAGTACCCAGGAGGTAACCGAGAGGAGCAGCTTTTGCAACGACATTCGACATCGTCGCGTCGTTCTATCTCGCTTTCGCTGCTAAGTGTGCTGTGGGTGTGAGAGTGGATGGAGAAAACGTTTGGTTTGGAAATAACAAAACAAGTTTGTCGTTTGAGTACTGGCCCGCTAAGTTTACCAACTGCTAGACATCTGAACATTTTTCGCGATAACAATACACATGTGCATTGCCGAGAGAAGTAAAATAGACATTCGTTCATACTTTATTATAAAGAGCGTTTCAAAAACAGTCGCAATTGGAGTAGCAAATACATCCAAATATAACATACATGAAAGATTGTATAAGCATTGGTCTTGAATTAAGGTGAGATTCTGTACACAATTTTCAGTATCAACATTTTCTAAAACAAGCATATTTCAAGTAGTATTTTATACGGATTTTATTGAGATACGAGGGATGTCTTTTAAGTTTTGCATATGGAAATAAAACAACACGGTAGGTAGTTTTAAATGGCTTTATTGTTTTTTGCTGGCAGATCCAAAACGGCATTTTTTAATGCGTCAAATGCTTCTGGACCTTTGACCACGCAGTCTGTTTTTAATTTTCGGGAAAGTAAAGGAAACAGACAGTAACTCAGCAAGGCATTCTTGTTGCGATAATTGTCTCTGAAAGTTGTAATAAATTATGGCGCGAAAATGTTCTCGGTTGAGTTCCATTTTTCTAATGACTTGGTGACACTCAAGAATTCACTGTAGTGAGAACACTGCACGTATTGTTGTGAAACTTTGAATTTAAGTATACTAAAGAGTGAGGTTAAGATTCAGTACTGACGTTCGATCCGCGCGGCCTACTATGTTTCTATATGCAAAACTTAAAAGACATCCCTCGTATCACAACAAATGAACCGTTATATGTATCAAATTGGCCATGTAAGATCTCATTTTAAACGTATTTGCATCCCCCTACAGCTTCAGTTTTACACATTTTGATTAATAAAAAATTATCCAGCAAAATTTGTTGTATCTCTTGATGAGAGGCTTTTTCATATACCCTCAATAATATAATTCCGCTGTAAACAGGTTATTACATTTTTCCTAAATTGTGCCGATTTTTTGATAGTCAAGTTGGTGTATGGACTTAGAAAATGACACCAACATGGTACAAAGCCAACATTGTCAAACTGGGTAGTATAAAAAAACTTAATCCTGTGAAAAACATTATTGCGGCTAAAACGGAGTCCTGTGACAGCTGAGCGTCTGCCGTTGTTTGCATTAAATTTTGATAATGTCGATCCTGCCCTGAGCAACCTCTTTCAAGTTACTAGAAAATGTTAAACTGAATCTTGTATGCATTTTAAAAGTAGATCTAACGGGGCAATAAACACAATTCAGGTAGCTCAGGTCTATATTCATTATGTTTCATAGAAATGTGTAGTTAAGCTATATACAGGGTGTGGCGTAAAGAGTGGATAACCTTTAACCTACAGTTAGAGGACATCATAACGATCCAAAAAATTTAAAATTGTGTCTAGTAAAAGTTGCACGGTTTTCAAGTTTTTGAACGTTTTTCAAATTTTTAGGAAATTGGTTCCTACACGCACGTCTAGTGATAAAACATGAAGATTTTTTCTCATTCTTTCTTCAATATAAGTATTCCTTGATACATGTGCCATTCAAAATTGGAAACAATTTTTTCCTCGTGAGTTTGACCACGTGTGCATAATATCGTGGTAACTAGTGAAACAAGGCGTGAATAATTTGCCTAATTCATTGAGAATGCAAAATGGTACATTACACGGTATTTCCTGCTGTCAATTCAAAGGATACTCCTATTGAGATAGCTGGATAAATCATAATAAATCATAATAAATCATACTAAATCATAATAAATCATAATAAATCATAATAAATTATAATAAATCATAATAAATCATAATAAATCATAATAAATCATAATAATCATAATAAATCATAATAAATCATAATAAATCATAATAAATCATAATAAATCATAATAAATCATAATAAATCATAATAAATCATAATAAATCATAATAAATCATAATAAATCATAATAAATCATAATAAATGATAATAAATGATAATAAATGATAATAAATGATAATAAATGATAATAATCATAATAAATCATAATAAATCATAATAAATCATAATAATCATAATAAATCATAATAAATCATAATAAATCATAATAAATCATAATAAATCATAATAAATCATAATAAATCATAATAAATCATAATAAATCATAATAAATCATAATAAATCATAATAAATCATAATAAATCATAATAAATCATAATAAATCATCGCGTTTCAAAATTAGAAAAAGGATCACAAAATATTCAAATTTATTACAACGTTTACAAAACGTATTAGTAATATTGCATTTTAAATCTACCAGATGGATATGAATTTAACACAAGATACTAACTTCATGGTGTAAGAATTAATTAAAATAAGAGAAGAGAACAGAAAACTCGCTAGATATAAACATATTATTAGAGGTTATACTAAGTGCTCAAAATGACCGCCACGAACTCTGATACATGAACTGCATCTTCTTATAAATGAGTGTTGACACTTGATCTGTCACTATGACATCAAACAAAAACAAACGAGTAGCTAGGCAAATGTGATTTCTCCATATTCGTCATTCAAGTAGAAGTTGTATTTGAAGAAATAGGAGTCTTAGGCCCATATCGTCAGTCGTCCCTACAATTATTGTAGGGCGCCTTTATGGCCTCCTTGATTGTCATAGTTTTCTACTTCTCCGTGTCTGCGCTCTATTTTGAGGTTATGTAACAAACATCTATTTGCATCAAATTGTGCTTGCTTTTGAGTTATATCATGTTTTATCAGCCTGAAATTTCCTACAATTTTAAAAGAAAACATATCTTCACAATAGGAGAGCGCTGACGCTGACACGGGACAAGAGTAATCCAGAAATTTTTGAAGGAGAGAAAGGAGTATGACATTCAAGGAGGCCATAAACGCGCCCTACAATTGTAGGGACGACTGACGATACGGGCCTTAGCCAACCTTAATAGGAGTAGGTATTATTTGAATTGACAGCAGAAAACGGTGTATTGTATCATTTTGCAATCTCAATGAATTAGGCAAATTATTCACGTCTTGTTTCGCTAGATTACCGCAATATTATTGACACCTCACGTAGCCAAACCTAAAGAAAAAATCATATTGTAGCACAAAAATGGCAATTTATATTTTATGACACATGTATCCAAAAATACTATGCTGAAAAAAGAATGAGAAAAACCTTTCATGTGTTATCACGAGACTTAAAACATATGAGTGAGTGAAGGTGTCCATTTCCTCGAAATTTGAAAAAAATCACGAAAATTGAAAACCGTGCAACTTTCACTAGACACAATTTTCAATTTTTTTAATATTCATTTGCAGGTTAAAGGTTATACACTCTTTATGCCACACCCTGTAGATATATTTGCATGAATTCAACCAAACATCAAATTCCAAAACTCTTTTTTCATTCAGTGTCAGTGAAGGGTTGTGGACAGTATGAAGACGAGACAAGTGTGTGTGAACATGGAAGTGGTTGCAAGAAAAGATATCATCCAGATATTAGGTCTCCAAACAGTGCTTCCTCCATATTAAGATACACCCTCCTCCCTGGTAAAAACTGTGCTAGAATCGGTCTTTAATCTCCCCGCATTTCTGTTTGGATTCCAGGATAGGATAGCGAAAGACCTAATCGAACTCCGCAACAAATCAGTGTTCGCGTTCCTAATGTTTAACGCTCTGTTCGTGTTAGTGGTGTTCCTGCTGCAGCTTAACAAGGACCAGATCCACGTTAAGTGGCCGCTCGGAGTCAAAACTAACATTACGTATATCGAGGAAACCTCCGAGGTATTTTCTCTTTTCGTTCCTGCTCGTATGCACTCTCTCTGTCTCTATCTTTTGCCATGAGTTCTTCTATGTGGACGTTGGAGATACATTACATATTATATGTAGTACATGTACTAATGGTAACTATGGTATATTAATAAAGATCACACCTTCGAGTTGTGTACGATGTACCAGCACCTTGATTAGGAAGCTTGAACCAAAAACTGCTGCAATCAATGTTTCTGTATGTACATTGAAGTACCTCAATGATAGCAAATTTTTAGTAAAGTGCCCTACACCGCCCTTCTCATCTAAAGCGGACCCTTAGAGTCAGGGTTATAGTCATTCCTGCAGGCTTCCTTGGGAAAAATGGATCTCTCTTTGAAAAAGTGAAACCATGACGCTTTCTTGAGGAACATCCAAGGGAGTATTCAAACTTTCATTTCACAGTAGGCTGTAACAGTTTAAGATTTTTCTTTGTTGGTGCTAAATATCAATAAATAAGGCAAAATGATAAAGTGTATGCAACCTCAAATTACAGTGCAATCACAGAGAAGTAACAAAACTGAATATAGGCAACCAGTTGCAACGAACTGCTCTGCTGGTTGCAGATTATGTCTGTAAGATCCAACTACTACAGTATTTCATAAATAAAACCACTAAAACATACTCTTTTATGATCAGGGTAACCATGCCTCTTTTTATGTATATTTGATGAGCCTGAGTATTGAATAAACATTTTAAATATTTAACGGTACTTAATATTGTTTGCAGTGACGCTTGGTTTGACTTTAAAACGAGAATTACCTATGATCTCAATACATATATGAGATTCATCACTTATTTTTGTTTTTCACAGAAACAGTTTTCGTTTCGTATTTATTTTTCTCTATAGAATAGAAAATGCAATCGTAGCTTTGAAGCACCACAGTATTTGGTCGAGTAGGAAAGTAAACACAATCTAGTTTGTACACAACTCTAGACGAAACACCCACCACCATACACATATGTGATTAATCCACTTTTCTTCCGAGCTGTGTGTTTTGTGTAATATGACTAAGGGAATGAAACGGTGGAAAGGTTCTTACTAAATCCGGTGAAAAGTGGTATTCAACGTCACTGTCACACTGGATGTGGTTCAAACAGTCAACACAATCGTATATATGACTTGCTCCATTTATACCACATGCCATTTATCCATTCCTCATCCATTCTATATCAGGATCACTCGGTATCACGAAATGACAATCATATATCAAATTCAGTGGATAAGACATACAACCATGGGCATTCCACTATGCATACAACCATCAAAGTCCAAAATTTTGAAAATAGACCATCAGAACTGGACGATGGAAAGGTTCAAAACAGTTATGGGGGAATAAATTAATTTTCACTATCCCAAGATTATCACAAAGGTAACAGGCAGCAAATTAAATTTTTTCTTTCCCTTAGCAACAAATAACTTAACAAGTATAACAATAAATACAGTTAGCCCAGGATATCTATGTTGATGAAAAGAATGCGGAAAAAATTCGGGTTGTTGCCATGTCTAACCTTCCGAATTGCTGTTTATGTTGGTAATTTCCGTTTTAAATTATAAACAAATTGTAGATTTGGCAAACCATAACGGGCAACATTTTGAACACTTATTGAAATAAAAAGTCATATTTTCGTGTGTGTTTGTTTTCTATTTGAACAAATTAAGATAAATAAAGATTTTTCTAATTTTCTCGAAAATCAAAGGTCAAAATAAAGGACTGCGAAAGACCTTGTAAAGAAGCTATTACTCGATACCCCTTGTCATTTAAAAATTTTAAGGGGATGACCCTGGGGGCCAGAGGGTGAAAGGGGTGAAGTAGTTTTTGGCTAAAAAGTTGTCCCCCTGTCCTGAAAATTGTCAGCAATGCACCAAATAATTTAAAATTAGAGGAGATGAGCAGAACATTGGATAAGTTAGGATCAGAAAATAGTACCAGGTTTGACAGAAATGAAATGGAAAAATGAAAATCGAAAATGAAGAACTAAAAGATCAAGGAGCGAAAGAATATAATCTTTCTAGAGCAAGAACTTATGAAAAAGTACCTCATAATTCACGGCTTGGGTAAAGAAAATGAAAGCGAAATAACACTTAAAATAAAAACAGCTAATATGAGAGAACAACAAGATAAACAAGAAATAAAAAGGGAGAAAAACACAAGTACGTGTTGAAATAGATACGAATAAACTGAGGAATCAAATTTTGCTGATTAAGAAAAAAACAAGATCATCACGGAAAGACATATTAAAATAATAGTTGAACTACGAAGGGAGAATGGAAGAAGAAAGAGTAAAGGGAAACACCACATATCTTAGACATTATAAAATAATGAATGTTAGATCCTATATCCTAAAAGAACTCGATGCAAATATGTAACATGTTAGAAGCTCGAGCAAAATAAAAGATTAACACGAATATTTAGTGAACTAACACCAGAGAAAGAAGATGAAGAGAAAAGGCAAAGTAGAACAGCAGAAAATTGTAAAAAATCACAAAACTAGACAATAGAGTAACGATGACGAGATGACGGCCAAGGCAGCGGCAAGGACCAAGAATTTTGAATGTAAAGTAGATATAAGTAAAGGGGAAGACAATAAAAATGTATCGAAAGGTAATAAACACACACAGAAAGGGCTAAGGGAGGAGTGGCTTGGCTGATTCGCACAGATTGGAAGTTAAAGATAAACACCTCAGGAATACTGAAAAAAATTCAAGTTGAACAAAATGTGAAACTAGATTGTATGGTTGCTTACAACAAGAGTAGAATGACGCCTGGCTAGATCTGGTAGGAGAGGAACGGATTAAGTACACTTGTGAGGTATGCACAGGAAAAAATCTGGTTTATCTACAAAACGACCTGCACAAAATTAAAGAGAGTAAACATACTAGAAGTATAGAGCGTAAGGAAAGTGTAAAACATTTTATATCTGGATTTTTCTCCTGTGGAATGAAAGCGATCAGTATGGAGAAGTCACCCCATCGGTAATAACTCTTGCTGCAAAGACGGACAATTTAATAAAAACAATGGTAGCTCTGTGATGTCATAAATACTGATCAAACGTACTGTAAATATTTTTTCCCAAATGACCTTCTGTTTCTGTCCAGCTATGCCAGCAATGACGGATTAGATCATCATGATTCAGAAGCAGAAAAACTCAACATGAAATCAAGAGAAAAAAATAAGAGAAAAATGCATAAATCCCAACATATCGTACTACATTTCATCACCATCATCGTAAAGTGGATTTACCGCCATCAGAAGTATGTGCAACTAGTGTCGAATAAATAATAAGTTCCATGTGTAAAACATCCAAAGTAGTTCATAGCCCACAGTTCAGTATATTAATGAATTATGAAGTTTGTAATAGTACATACAGTACAGTTGTAACCCATCAAGAAATAATATCGATAACTCCTCTTCACCAGACAAGTTCCTGTCGTCAATTTTCTCCCTTATTTTTTCCAATTCGTTGTGAATAATTTAACTGGTATGGTGTGAATCTATGCATGTGTCCTGGTGATGTGAATTAATATAAGCCTGATTTATTTGTCAATAATGTTCATGTAAGCTCCAAAAAAATATACAATCTAATACTGTCAAATCTTGCTCCCATTAGGAGTATGTATTTTTACGTATACGTAACTTTTGAATATTTTTGTGTGCATGAAATATGAAATATTACTAGATTACTGTACATAATTGACAAATACAACAGCTGCCTCGCTTGAAACTGCTTTGTACAACGACAAAACAATCTAACGTACTTTATTCCTTTAGGTACATATAACGAAAGAGTACCTCCAGCTGGAACCAATAGGATTGGTGTTTGTGTTTTTCTTCGCATTGATTTTGGTGATTCAATTCGTCGCTATGTTGTTCCATCGATTTGGAACATTAGCCCATATCTTAGCGTCGACTGAACTAAACTGGTCCTGTACAAAGAAGGTAACTATAATTATTTTTCCTAGCTACCTATCTAGAATAAAATAGAGCTTGCTTACTTTGGATGTTCCCTTATCATGATGTAACTTTGAATGCGACAGAGTACAGCTAATTTCACAACGGAGTTTTACTCACAAAAAAGGTGATACAAGTACTTGAATCATAAAATAAAGACGTCTATTATTATTAGTATAAATGCCTGACTACAGGTTAGTAGGTAATCAGGACCTGTACCCAAGAAACTTTTGAAAGAAAATACATATTACTTCAATACATCCACCGAACCTATAGAGCAAAATATTAAGTATCGTCGTTTTTATTTCAGAAGGAAGAGATGTCTCCAAATGCTCTATTAGATAAACAGGCTGTTGAAATCGTGAAGCAACTACAGAAGCTACAGGGTATCGATGGAGATTACGACAACGACTCAGGATCTGGGCCAGACAGGATAGGAAGAAGAAAAACCATTCATAACCTAGAAAAAGCAGCGCAGAAGAAAAGACAAATTGGAACGTTAGATGTTGCGTTCAAGAAGAGATTTGCAAAATTGAACGCCAATCCTGACGGAGGTGGGTAATGAAATATCTTGATGAAGTTATGATTATACTTCTTATAATCATATATGATATTTTCAAAGCCGTCGATGTTGTGACAAAATTATAAATCGTCGAATTCATTTTGTGAAACATACGAGTACAGGGTAGTGCATTTTCTGGAAAACATATATTCACCAAAAAATTTAACCAACTATGCAATCTGCTTGCAATTTGAGTTGTCCTGTTATCAATCTTCAATATGAAATTGTACAACGCCCGGAAATACGACCAATGGAGAAGGAAATTTATTGGAGTATTTCCAGGAAAAGAATGAAAACAGCGGTTAAGAAAATTAAGATCCGCCCATAGTACAGAGACTCGATCTGTTTACTTATTTCGCATGGCGTAACTGCCAAGAACGGTGTCAACAACTATACATCTCTTCCTTCTCCTTAAAGTGCTATATTATGTTTACACAGCATTGTTCACACGTAGTTTCTCACACTGGGCCCCCAAACTATATAACTGCTTGTCAACTGGGTATAAAGAATCCAGCCTAGGCTACTTAAGAAATGGTTAAAAATGACCTTAAAAGAATCGGAAGGCTAAAACTTAACTTTACGCATCTCTACAGGTAGTTGATTGTTTCATTTCTCTGGAAAGTAGAATATTTTGTGCTTTTTTGTAATCAAATATGTTTTCCTTATAGCAGTTTATCAATTGTATCTATGTCTTCAGGTCAGGTTGAAAAACAGCTTAAACCGACGGTCCACCTTTTCCACACACTTTTTTTTTATTTTTCCTTTCAACTATAGAACGAATAAAGGCCATTTATTATTATTATTCAATACAAAGAAAACTAGCCCAACCGAACGTCTTATCCCGCAAACATTACGAGTCAATATATACTATAACTATCTAAAACTGTAATGACTCATCGATGTTCACGTGAACATCACTTAACTACCAGTAGTCGGCTGTTCATAGGCGGGGTATGAATATTTAACATGGGTGAACTAGATTTGTCACATGCTTAATAAAGAGTGGTTTGAAACATATTGTAAGTCAAAATTTGGGAATTACCTTTATTCATCGTCGCTTCCACTTACATCTGACAGTAATAAACTATCGCTATCGCTTTCCTCGTTGAAATTGGCTATAACTGGCTCTATGATGGTGTCGATGTGGTGGTCAAGCTGCCACATTTTTGTTTCTTCCTTCACAACATGACGGATAGTATTCTGCCAAGTTTCGGGCGTTACTAGCTGTATGGAAGTCTCAAGTAAAACCTTAACGTCTGGTAATTTGAAGGTTGTGTTATGGCGCGCAATATAACCCTTCACTTGAGCCCAGATGAGCTCTATTGGGTTCAGTTCACAGTGGTAGGGCGGTAACCGCAGCACAGTGACACCACATTGACGGGCCATCTCATCAGTCACGTAACTAATGTTCGCAGGTTTGTGCTGTTTAATTTTTTCATACAATTCCGCTTTCACACATGAATCGTCAAACGGGATTCCTTTTTCGCGCAACCATTGCTGCATGTCACTTTTTCGAGATCCCATAGTCGGTACACGTTCGGCTCGACGACTATGGTAGGAAGCATTATCCATGACGATCACAGAGTTGGGCTCAACTCGCTGAAGCACCCCTTGAAACCAGCTCTCGAAGCAGCTGGCATTCATTTCGTCATGGTAATCACCTCCTTTCTTAGAGACGAAAATCAAGTCATACTCTTCTAAAAAGCCACTATCGGTACCAATATGAGTTACGATCAATCTTTGACCTTTTCTGACGGTCCACGAAGACCTGTTGACAAACCTTCAATGCTTGCTTGTCGGTTACTCACTACGTTTTTGTCTATCCAGGTTTTTTTAACTGTGTGACCTGCATTTACCCATGTCTCGTCCAAATAATAGATTTTTCAGCTTTGTCGCCTATATTCAATCATTTCGCGTAGGTATTTTCGACGCCAGGCGACTATTTCAGGTCTCTCTATCAATACTGACTTCCAATTACGCGTTTCGTAACGAAAATTAATTTCGTGCAGGGATTTCCTCATTACCTCGACGCTCATTTGGGGTATAATTTCATTTTCCTTGATCGCTGCATGTACAGCCTTGAGGGTTGGTATCTCATTCCTAAAGAAGAATGAATGTACGGTTCGCCTTAACGCCATTTTGCTATCGTCATCCAATTTAACGGCCTTTCGTCCCTTTAAATTAAACTTTGGATCAGTAGTAGCTCCAGTTTTCTTCTTTTCATGCACCACCCTGCGAATGGTCCACTCTGGAACGCCTGTCATTCTTTCACAACGCGCGAGTGCATCTCCCTGCGACATAGTTCTATTCAGATAATTGAACACGTTGAGCACGATTTCTTTCGCGTCCCTCTTCAGTGCTTTACGAAGCCGTCTACTTGTTCCCTGGCTTTCAGTACTTCCACTCGTGCCATTTGTACTCTCCATGGTTAAGTATAACCAAAACAGTAACCACAGAAACCACAACAATAACAATCACACAACAATTCTCATAAAAACACACAATATGCGATCGCTCAACGAAACACGTTCCAATGCGTTGCCGACGCCTATGAGTCTGCCGGTCGAGGCGCGTCTTTAATTTCATTGGTTCTACCGGCGGAGAACAATCAGCCATTATTTCCATCTCTGTCTGTGCTGTTGACCACCGCAAAGCCACAGAAACGACATATGTCGTACGCTATACGGCTATACTGGAAGGAAGCCGGGATCGAGCTCTGATCACGTGTTGATCACGCGTATGAGTCATTACAGTTTTAATTAGTTGTAGTATAGCAACCGAAACCATGCTTTATACTATTTGATTTACACGTCTACTTTGTTACCCAGGTACACCAGTATTGAGCCGCAGGATGACGATGCGGCCTGAAACAATGAAAGCTTTGGAAGTGCGTGTCAATTCTGTGATGGCCGAACGTCGCAAATCACATATGCAGACCTTAGGAGCGAAAAACGAATTCCAAAATAACAATGTGACAAGGAACCATAGAAGTAGCGTAGCTAGCAGTATTCCAGCTAAGGTAAAAATAAGCGGTCCCCGATTATTAGCCTTGTTCTTGATGACAGAAATGACAGTTGTTTGTCATAAGGGACATTTCACGTGGAGCGGTCTGCAAAAAAAAAGATTTTAAAATCCATATTGGGCCTGTTTGAACATCTAGCAGAAATGTAAAAAAAAAACATGATCTTATTGTATCACGTTCATTTTCTAAGTTAGTATTTGAAATTGAGATTTCGTTGGAAGCATTTTTTCAAATTGAAGAGTATTATAGTCGGATATGAAACATAACGTTTTATTTAGGAAATTTTTTGATGAAAATTCAAATTTGACATTCAAAAAAAAATTGAGGAAAACACTCCACCAAAATTTTTATTTCCGATTTTTTTACTCCAAAGTATAGTCCGATGTGTGTTTAAAATACTTCAAAATTTTTGAAATGATATGCACATTAATTAAGGAAGTACGTACTTTAATGTAGATACATTTCACCCTGAGTATGACGCAGCTTGTTTAGGTCCACTGGTTTGCGAGATACTGCTTTAATAGGTCACAAAAATGAGTATTTTTCAGCTCTAATAATTAAATTGTTACAGTCTGACTGAATTAACTGTATCTTGATGAAATAAATTATTACAACGTTTTTCTTATTTAGAATAATAATTTTATAGCGATTATTAAATATATCGAATTTTATTTTTATAGCAAAACACTTCTCTTGGTCTAACAATATTATAGTAGAAAATCGTACTCTACTCTCCATCTCGTTAAATCGTTCTTTTTTATATTTTCTGTCGACCGTAAATACGAGAGCTGATGGTGACTTGGGGCTATTTCTGGTGCTCTCGTGTAGGAGTTATACGATCCACAACCTTCGTTAGTGAATTAGTTTCCCACCCAATGTGGGTTTTATCGGGTTGTGGAGATTTTGGTAGAAATCGGCCTCCCTTGGTGAATTTTGTTATCGGAGCCCTTTTCTCACCCTCTTGGGGATTTCGCCGTTGTCACAACTACACTAAAACCATCGAGCTGAGGGGAACTGTCTACATAGATACTCTGAGGCGAATTTAAGTAGGATTCACGTCTGTGAGGAGCAGTCCCTCATTTCAGTGAGCCCAAATGGTTCGAGGGTTCTACCTTCGGGTATTGAGTTACAACTGGGACTTCCTGCCCTTGGTTGCCTTCCTGTGATAGCCAAGCACCTGCCAATGGGTATTTTTATTTTAGTTTTTGCTGGGGGGGTAGTACAAAATAATTTTCTTTTGCTTGTCCTCCAGGACTTCATTCACCTTTTTTTTTATTTCTTTTGTTTCATAAATGTTAGTGTACCTTGTGAGTTTGTATCTCCTTTAGCGCGAGGGACCCAACATTGGTTACTTGTTATTTCTTTTCCTCGTGCTTAACTAGGAGGCGTCCGAACCACAACCATTTGCATCCAAAATCCTAAGTACAAAGAATCACCCTCTGAGGGCTTATTAACTACCGACTGAGCACAGTTACATTCTTTTACCAAATTATAATTTGATATAAGCGGGATAACAAAATTAAATACATTTCAACTTAAAATTATAGTTTATTTTCATACGATTTTTTTAAATATTCAATACTGAAAAACTAGGGTGCAAAACCGGAAGCAAACGTCACTTTTACAACTTTTTTCATGATTATTTTATCCAAAATATAACCTAGAGTGGTTTTGGTTTTTAAATTCAAATTTGGTTTTTTCACTAAAAAGTACAGACAATTTCCCATATAAAACGCTATGTTTCATATCCAAGGTTCAGTATTCAACTTATTAAATCAATAGAAGTCAAAGAACTAAAATTGGCAAGACATTATCAAACATTAAAAACATTTCGGTAGGTGTGCCACAGGGTAGCAAATTAGGACCATTACTATTTATTTTATATATTAACGATATTCCTAATATTTTACAACACTACCAAATTAAACTATTTGCTGATGATACATTAATATATATATATATATATATATATATATATATATATATATATATATATATTTTGAGACGTGGTCATTGTCGTCTAGACCAGTTAGGTGAAAAATTAAAGCTTCCGCCTTTTGTTGGGTACTTCGATAAAATTTAAGCAAAGAGGACTCTTTATACTTTTTTAATTCTCTCTAGCTTTCAATGGACTTTGCCATCATCATCAGGAGCTGCAATTACAATGATAACAGTAGCAACAAAAGTGTAAAATGAATTTAGTCAATTTAAATTTATTTTACACTTTTGTTGCTACTGTTATCATTGTAATTGTTGTAATTGCAGCTCCTGATGATGATGGCAAAGTCCATTGAAAGCTTGAGAGAATTAAAAAAGTATAAAGAGTCCTCTCTGCTTAAATTTTGTCGAAGTACCCAACAAAAGGCGGAAGCTTTAATTTTTATATATATTCGTATATATATATATATATATATATATATATATCAAATAAAGACATTGAAACTGCAATAGAGCTGTTAAATAATGATATGAAAAACGTAGTAAATTGGTTAAATGTAAATAAACTTAAACTAAACACAAACAAAACGAAATATATGCTAATAGGAAAATCTTTAAATGCTCCATATGTAGAATTTTATGTAGAATTATACAGTATCAATGTGAGGCGAGTTTTTGTCAGTTTGTATGAATAGGTGTGTAATGTGTGGCAAGTATCGAATCAATCTATAAGATGCTATTTTTTATTTCAGGAGGTATTTGAAAATGGGCACGTCAACAAGGCATTCGTTGAGGAAGAAATATACGGTAGCAACAGTGGTAGTAGAAGTTCTCTACCAAGACCACCAAGACCTGCACACAGCATCGCTTGGGGTAACACCAGCAGAATGTAGCAACTTAATGGATCAATGTCAGATGCTATAACTGCCGCTCTCATATGTATGGACCGACGTCAAAAAAGTTACCTTTCTGAGAGCTAATCCATTAAATTTCATATGTAGCTACCCCCAGACGTACAAAGTGGCCTAAAATGGCTGGACAATATATTATAACAAATTAAAGCGAAAACTGGCATTTACAAGTATCACGTCATATCTTCTTATACGTAAAAAGAAGAAGAGAGTTCCAGTCTCATTGTCAAACAAGTTTTTCCAATTCTACGACTTATTACACTGAGGTGCTAAACACCTTAAGTATATTTTATGTAATTCTCGACATTAATGTCATAGCCAATTAGACGAAGGTTTCATATGGAAATGAAAAATTGGTCTACAAACAGGCAACTGTTTGAATTTTTGAAAACAGGGATGCTGAGTAAATCCAGCACGTTATCCACAAATTTTAGGACACCTTGTGTAAGTGCGAAGTGTGCTAGTCAAGGGATCCATATTTATGAATGCTCTCACTTGTGAATAGACTAGTCAAATAATGTCTTAAACCTGCGGTACGCTCTCAAATTCAGATTATTCATGGAGACTAATTAAAGGGTTATCTAGAAAATATATATAGTAAATAATAACTTTTTTGATATAGCCGCCGCTAGGATAATAATTTGTAACATAGTGGAATGAAAAAGCTCTGACCCTAACGAAGATTCAAGTTACCGCATATATCAAAACAAACTGAGACGCTACATTATTATAGAGGGTGATCCATCTGTTGATTAATTTTCAAATCGATGGTTAAAATGAAAACGCAGACTTCTTTTTCAAAACGGGTTTTTTTATTTTAGAGTACTGTCCTTCCGGCTAATGATGAAACACAATCTCATTCATACGCGACCCAATTTTTCAGTACATTTTCCAAAGTCCGGCATTATCTCACCAATGGCTGCATGAATATTGGTCTTCAATCGATGGATCACCCTTTATTATTATGCTCAGTGAAAATTCGGATTCACGTATTTTTAAAGTTTGTGAAACAACCAAGTGATTCTCTACCAGTTTTACTCACAAAATTGTGTTGGTATATGTAATATTTAATTACCCGACAACGACATTATGATTTTTATGATTAAAAAATCGATTTTCTTCTCTTTCATTTCGTTGACCTCCCGTATATTTTTTGAGTATGCACAGTGTGCAATGTTAGTTATCTTTTCATAGGCAAAACCATGGACATTTTATCGCACTGCCAAACTACGTACATCTAAAAATACTCATTGTCGATTTTTTGTAAAAAAATTTTATACTTTTTGTACATACTAGGTTTAATCGCTTTTCGTATATTTTTACATTTTCATCTTTTGTATTTATTTGTTATGATGCAAGATTTCAAGCTCAACTGCTCTCCTTTACGTACTTACTAGTTGCGTATTGTAATTTATGTACTTTTTTAATTATGTGATGTGGTTAATAAAACTATGTATATAATTTTGTCTTTGATTTATTATTGTATCGCCTCGCTGGATATAACTTAACAATGGATCCAATCATTAACTTCGTAATTCACTGATAGTACTGTTGCCTCCAGGCAAATATTGCAAATGTGTAGGGTAGAATGCGGAAGAACAAGTAACGATAAATTCATCCCCGACAGTACGAAATATTCATTAAATATTTACTCAATAATTACTAATATTTTTATCTTACTTAAATATTTGTTATCTTAAAAAATATTTAATAAATATTTGGAATATAATATTTTTATTAAATATGTTAAATACAATATTTATTTTATAATATCATTAAATATTTACTTTTCAATCAATGTAAAATACTAAATTCCATTATTTACGAAATATTCATTAAATATGTGTGCGTGTGACCCCGAGCGACCAATGGCATAATGGCAAGCCGACCTGAGCCGACCCGTTTTCCGGCATCCATTTTGCCTGCGAGTGTCACTATGATAGCGTGCTTCCTGTGGTACATTATTTGAGTGTTTTTTTGTGGAAAGGGGAAGAGTAAGTTTTTCCACAATTAAATAGCTTAATTTATCTGACTAGTAAACATTATTGTGCCAGTTGAGTAAGAAGGTATTTGCAAGACCATAAATAATTAGCCTTGAAGTGTAGCAGTCATTGACGATTTGGGATTGGTGGATTTAACTGAAAATGGATACGAAAATTATATTCATAATGAAAATCATATAATCGCAACTTGATCGAGGTACATCAAAAATGCTTTTTTTAATATCTCAATTATTATTATTATTTTTGTTGTAGTATGGGTCAAATCAGCTGTAATTATTTAAAAAAAAATTATTATTATTATTTTCTAAAACTTCAACAGGGACGTTCCAAAATTTTAACAGTGGAAAATACTATTTTTGTCCCTTGAATCATAATATAAAATCACAAAATAGTTATTGCTAAATTAGCCCCCTTACTACAGCACAAAAGTCACATTTCAACAAAATCAATAAGTGGCCTATTTTTAAAACCTTTTCTTTGAAAGTTTAGTCAAAGGATCAAGTTGTTATTTTTCATCAAGATATCTAAAATAACATACCAAATTTGCTAAAACATCAACCAAATCTCTAACTCTCATAGGAAGAAAATGTGGGGTCCTTTTAGGTGCATTATAGAGCTATTTTTAAGTGACCCAGTTGAGCTACTCGGAGTAACTCAGCAGTGCTCAGCACCAATATTGTTTCACTGCATTTTATATTCCCATAAATACCCTCTCTAGAGTAGTTTAGGAGAATATCTCTCTCAAACAAAAGACCACTGGAAAGCAGCTTATGTAAGTATTCAATAATTCTTCATAATTAGTAAGTTTTTTTTTCTGAGAAGTGGATTTGCAAGATGCAGAATTAATGTTTTTTACGATATTTTTCTAGCAAATTAAACCATTATATCTAAAATGAACTTTTTTTATAAACCCAATTTTATAAAAGCATTCCTACAGATTTTGCTAAAATAACCAATAAAGAATTTTCTATATACTTTGAAAATATGTATCAGATTAATGCTTGAAAATCCATACATATCTACATCAAAAAAATATAAGATATATCATAAAAATATAAAATTGATATTTGAAAATCTTTCTTCATATATTTTCTAAATATTTGGTGAAAATATCGCAAAAATATATGAATTATATATACTACAAATATATATATCGAATATTTTATGAATAGATAAGAAATTTATTTGTTAAATATTAAAAAATCTGTCGCTAGAAATATTATATAAACATTTTTTTAATATTTAATAAATATTTGATGCTATCTGTGATTGACTTTATTGGTCGAACTCGTAACAACCTGTACCTGGAGAGACGGGTTGCATAAAGGTCGGTCCTGGTCATAAGACCAACAGCGACGTCATTGCATCTCCTTCAAAACTTCAAAAGATCCAGATATCTCCGAAATACATTTAGTAAGTTTTAAGGAATGTTTCCAACTCGAAAAAAAAAATACGTTGGTACCTACCGTATTTGTTAGTACCGTTCTTAAACACGTTGCTATTTGAAAAAATCACAAATATCTTCAATAGAAATATGTATTAAATCATGTATGTAACAAACGAAGATATAATCAATTGAACACAGAAACAAACAGTGATAGACATTTCTCAGATTAGTTCATCCATCTGGATCAGGTCGGTGGCTCATCATCCGATTCGTCCAAATTTGGAAGCCCAACCACCGGACTTTTCAGCAGGATTTTTTCCTCTACAACGGTACCAGATTCCACCATCTACAAAAAGGTGTATTTTAGTTGAAGGTCGATATAGTATGAAGTAAAATGTAGCTAGTTTCAAAAACTGACAAATTATTTTTATAGCTTCTCATAGTTTTAGTACATATTCCTAAAAAAAATAGTTTATAATGGAATTATTCTACCGCATTTACTATATTGTTCAACTATCTTGTTCACTTGTTCAAATAACTAATCGATGAAAAAGTATAGGGTGTTCCATCCGTTAATTTTTTTAATCTAAAAAAACACACTTTTTATGAGTGAGAAACGGAACTCTTTATTGAAAATTGTAGGTCGGTCTTTGCCATTTTTGTTTTGAATATAACATCGCAAATATGTCCACCGCGGCTCCGTTGACATGCCATCATCCGAACATCAAAATTTTCGATGACTTTTTGCAGTATTAGAGAGTCCACGGTCGCAATTTCGGTGCGAATGTCAAAAATAGTAGTTGAAAAAATAAACAATAAATGGAACACCATTTATATAAGCGTATGCGATTTCAATACCTTCGTCTGAATAATATTTCCTTGTTCGTCAACATCCGTGATCATAATTATAATATCTTCGCCTGACGCGAAGGCTTCGTTACTGCACGAGACAGATATACAGTAATCCTTCTTATCATCAGAACCAAGCGACGCGCCATCACTTTTTTGCATCGACTCACTCCTAATCATCTCTTCAGTGACTTCAAGACTCTCGTATCGAACCGTTTGCAAGCGGTAGATTCCATCTTTGTCTTTACGGTATCTACAAGAATGTTATATTTACAACTTTCACTGTAATGTAACATCGATAATCAATCATTGCTTAAGAAGGGTCTCCATTGCTCTCAGCTTAGATAAAAAAAATGAGATAGTGGAAGCAGTTGAAATCGGAATCTTATGTGATCCCGAACCCTATAGTCTGCTGAATTTCAAAAATGAGAGAGATAAGAAATAGTTATATTCACTGTACATTGTCGAATTACAAGCCATATACATGCTAAAAGTAATTACGCACAACGCAGGCGCGGTGATGATTTCCCGTAATTCTCCTCAGTTTTTCGTAATTTATAACTTTGAACATAACCTCTCTTCAGAAAGCACAACATAAAAATAACCCGTCACAGCCAACAGATATACTTCATTGGTAGCATATTCAGTAATGATTTTCTCACACAGCAAATGTCACTGATTTTATACACATTCAGACCAATACACATAAATCATCCAGACGCGATCTTGCTATTCAACCAACTTTCTTCTCAGAGATAAAAACTACAGACAAGGACTATTTGGCCTCCCAAAACATATGCAACCAGTAATGCGTGTAGTTTAGTTGAGTGATTCCTCCTTAGAGGGACGTTCACAACGATCCTAGTGAGCAAACGTGGAATGTCTGTTTGCGCCCTAAAAACTACCTAGTTCGCAAGATGACATCTTATAGGTTTTTTTTTGACGTTTTATAGGTTTTTTATATGATACCCATGCGGAATTATGTAAGATGTAAAAACTAGATATCTCATTCTGACGGAGGTAGCCAGATCTACATAATTTTGATTTTTGAAGAAAAGTGGTGCAGCTTGAAATGATCTATGACATCTAAAATCAACTTATCCTTAGCATTTTCAGATGCCATCTCCAAAAATACACTGTCAGATTTTCAGCTTTTCTCAAAATTCACAAGGTAGCCCGAATTTGAGAAACATTTGTCTGCAAGGATATGGCGAATACATTGGTGGGTGGCGATCATTAAATTTCCATCTAGTTGTGCACCATTTATTTAATGTAACATTTGAAAATTATTCTGTGATTTTCATGTCGATAAATCCCCATGTTTGTCTGGCCAATGAAAGCACATACGAGGAGATACCCAAAAATAACCGGAATATCATTGCAGTGGGCGGAGCTTGTGTAGTACACATTTCTGCCCCTAGAGCCAGTGCCTGAGTTGTCGATCTGGCTTGTTTCGTTCCTCTGTACTAGAATTGTTTCGTGCTTGTTTCGTTTTCTACGATGACACGCTTCAGTGAGCAACGTGCCGCTGTGAAATTTTGCTTTCTAACTGGCAAAAATGCTGCTGAAACTGTTTTAATGTTGAAAATAGCTTACAAAGACGATGCTATGGGAAAAACTCAGATGTACGAATGGTTTGCTCGATTTAAAAATGGCGACATGTCGATTGATGACAAACCTTGCTCTGGACGTCCATCAACTGCCCGAATGGAAGAAAATGTTGAAAAAATTAGAGAGCTTGTGCTATTTGGAGGTTTTAAGACGATTGCGTTCGTCAAAAAGACCCAATTTGTGGCAGCCAGGGGTCTAGTTCTTCCACCACGATCATGCACCTGCGCACACAGCCAGTAGTATAAGTCTCGGTCACGACGGTGACCTACTTCAGTACATGACACTTTTCATCCGGTGCATTAAAAAATCGAACCGTAACATCAAGTTCATTTTTTCGTTTTGGGGGGGGGCTAGATGCCCTTTTCTCGATATGTTACGGATCTTTCAGACTATTAAAGTAACACTGCGTAGGAATCTGAAAATGAAAAGAAAAAACAAACGACGTGACACCTGAAAGAAAAGAAATATTGTCAAAAAGTGTCATGAACTGAAGGTCGCCGAAACGTAAGCACTGAAGAAGAATTTTAAAACATGGAGGATTACCATATTATTTGTTGTGTGATGTTTGATGGGATATTGAGGAGTGTTCTGGGCGAAACTACGCGTTGAAAAAATTATACGTTTGACAACAAATCTTACATAACCTTACTTGCCTTGCCACTTTGTTAGCCGATTGTTTAGCTTTCCGTACTGTACAAGTAAACGGAATAATGTCACGTTGACTTCTGCGTCTCTGGGATCGTTTCAATACGCTTAGGGACGCCCTTAACTTTGGTTAATCATTATAAGGTAAACACTGCGATTTAACACGTTAACTGCCACGTGAATCAAGTGTGTCTCATAGGTTATAAATTCAGTGAGCCATGTGAATCATCCTTGATTCACGTGAAAACTATTAGGTTTATATCTGTAGCTCAGCGACGATTCACAGCGGCCGCATAATAACATGGTAGTTGAACAACCGTGGCCTCGCAAATAAAATGAGGGTAGTTAGCCTACGTAAAAGTTGTTTATTTTGTTTTTATTTAGGCACTAAGTGCAAATTATTTTAACTTTTATTAATTCAAGACAAACTTCATGCTGGACGCTTTTTATTGAAACAAAAACGAAGAAAATACAAGTATAGGAACTAATTAGCTACATAAAACAACAAGAACAACTATTTTGTACAAACATGAGATTCTGTGAAGCAAGTCACGCAGTAGTGTTTATCGCATTGAATGCACTTCCATCTAGTTTGTGCAGTGGTTTTGGCTGCCACGGTTCTTCCCTTTTCTTTTGATATTTTACAGTAGCAAATGCAACATCTTCGCCTATTAGAAGTGTTGACATCTTCTAAAATATGTTTTATTTGATTTGCTTGCGTATCTTCTTGCTCGTTCTGGTGTTCTTGTGGGAAATTTAGAAGGCATGAAGCAACTTCTTCTCTGAATGTTGTTATAGTCATTTTTTGTCCAGTTACTGCTTTGAACAGGATATATGCATTTACCATGGCCGATCCTAGAATCAATTCCACGGCAATTTTTCTATACCATTTTATCCCTTTTCTCAAAGCTGAGGAATATGATTTGATCTGATCCGATAAATCGATAAATGCTTTGCATGTATTATAGTCAGCAACAACGTCGGGCTTTTCTACTTCCGCATTACGTCGTGATCTCACTGTAACCATTTGGCCAGTATGTTAGTAGATAAAGTAAGGACTTCCCTTTTGTCGTGCCATTTTGTTATTACAACTCCCGTATTACTCTCTTGACTGTATGATTCACCCTTCTTCAGCTTTTTGTGTATAACACCTTTCGGATTATTTTTACGATTTTTTCTTAGCGTACCCACTAAGTGAGTTTTTTCTCGAGTAACTTGTGTGCTAGCTCCATACTGGTGTAGTAGTTATCTACATAAATGCATCGTCCGCAGTTCAAAAGTGGTTCGCAAATGTTCATAACGATGTTCGTTGGTACGCTTGACCCTTGCACTTTTTCCTTGCCACAATAGATTTTCAAATCATAGGTATAGCCTCCATCAAGACATAATTTATACAATTTCACTCCGAACTTGTGCCGTTTATTCTTGATATACTGAATAAAAGCCAGCCTTCCACGGAAAGGGACAAGCGTTTCATCCACGCATATCTGGTCTTTGGGAATGAAGTACTTTTGAAAGTTCGTTCTAAGCTGCTCCAGGAGGGGTCCAAGTTTGTACAATCTATCAGAAGTGTCGGCGGTTTGATTATCTTGAAAATGCCAATTCGCCAACAACAACTCAAATCTGTTGCGCGACATTACGCCTGCAATTTGGTTCACATATATCTTCTTTTTTGACCAATAGTCTGCCAGTTTAGGAGCACGAAACAAGCCCATCCAAATTTGAAGACCAATGAAAGTCATGATTTCGTCAGAATTGGTATCTTTCCACTTATTTATTCGAGACCACTTTAGTAGTGTCGATTCTTTTTTCTGTGCAGCGAAACGATTTGTTTCCCTCACAATATTGTTTACGACATTTCGTCACCATTAACTTGAAGAAAAAAATAGGAGACTTGTCAACGTGTTCAAATAAAGCATTTACAACACCACTTTCGGGAATGTCAATCGGAAAGTCCTTGAGATATTGCCCAGAAACTTCTTGCCACATCAGTGATGGAACCAGTTCCTCATTTTCATCTGAGCTGTCCAGTTGAAATTGATGAATAACCGCTTCTATGGTGTCCAGAATTGAATCATTTTGATTTACTTTCTGAGAAGACGATGAATCATCAGTTCTGGTAAGAAGCTGTCTACTAGTACCTTCTCTGCCAACATCAGAAGATGCTATTGGATGATCCACTGTTTTTTCTTTTTACTAATGGCTCGTTACTGCCTTTCGAGCTATATGAAGACGATGAATGCCAACTATCAGGTTCATATTCATCTGAGGAAGCCTCAAAAGGATCGGCCTCTTCATCGGAAAACATCTCGTCAATTAGTTTTGCAGACGTTGCTGCTCTTTCTCATAGCTACCCATTTATCTTAAGAAAAAACATTAAATTAATTGTTGTAATGAAATGTTAACAAAAAATCTTACCTTGGGTAATAAAAACCGCAAATTCTCTTTACTGTATCGCTATATAACCATAGACTAAATGAAGAATCAACACGTGGTGATCACCGAGAATAGATAGGTTATGTTTTGCATCACGCATGATTCATGTGGCCCTCTGTGCAAATTTGGTTAACCAGGCCACGTGAGACACACTTGATTCACGTTCAAAAACACAATTTTTGACAGCTATTGACGAGTAATAAATATCGTGTCAACATTTTTATGAATTTGAAAGTATAATAAACAATTTTTAGCTTGTGGCCCAGGGGATCAAATTTTTTTTTATATTGTGGCAGTTAACGTGTTAAGGGCTGATACGTATACGGTATTTTCATACATAAACACATACGAGTTTACACGGGAAAGTGGGCTATTATTGTTAATGTATAAAGCTAAAATGTATGTCATTCTAATGGAGATTGTTAGATCTAAACTTTAGAGGTTTCTTTAATTTTCATATTTTCATTTCTCACCTGAATCTGGAATGACCCGAAGGCCAATGGTAATTATGCATTTTCATCAAATGTTTAGTCAGAAACTGACCTCTTTTAGTTTCTTTTTGCACGAATGACATTCAAATATTGGTGCTGCCTGAAAAAAAAAGATTAAATAATGAACATACACCTATTTTGCAACTCTTGACAGTAACACTAACTAACTAACTACTAAGGCCCGGCAAGTTAACTTCAACTTGGTGGTAACAGTTATCCATGAAAAAGCG